CTGGGCAGTTGCAGATTGTGGGAAAACAGCAATCTTGCCCCGAGCACTGAGAGGCTGAACACACTGAGGTCATCAGCCTGCTCTGGCCTGTCTTAAACTTGGGGTTAAGGCTGCTGAGGGTTGAAGAAAAAGAAATGAGAAACAAAATAAAAAGCAAACTTCCTATCAAGAAATTCCTTTGGTTTCTATTCAGGTAGAATAGAGTCTTTGCAAACAGGTGGTGCTGAGTGAAACCGGCTTCTTCTGGCCCACCAGAGATGAACGACTGTGACCACCAGGACAGGAGTTTTCACCAACCTTCATCCCGAGGATTGGCCTAATCATTTGTTACTAAAAAGTGATGAAAGAGGAAGGCTCGGATTATGTATACCTCTATATATTGGAGCAAGTTCAAGGTGAATCTGTAGGTTCTTATAACTTTTGTAAGATGCTTTTAAAATGCTCCCCTCGTCTGTATTGCTATCATCAGTTGAAGATGAGAACTCACAGCACTAGAGAGAATCTGAAATCCACCATATCACAGGCTCTCCTCTGGGTTATTTCACCCGCCATTTGCACTGGATTGGGAGGGCATCGTCTGAAGGCACAACCTGGGATAAACACTAATTGTATCATCTTCTTTACGACTCACAGTGAACACGGCAGATTTTACAGAATTTTTTTTTTCTACCTCATCATTCCCATGGGGAATTTTGGCCCTGAGACACTTTTTAGTAAAATATCTAAGATTTCTGGCTGTTTCATGAAGAGCACACAGAGGAAACACCAATCTTTACCAGCTAAGGAAGTGCCTAGGGCTAAACCTATCTTGTCTAGGAAAGTGGTGTGGTAGGAAGAACAACCATGACATTTTGGGAAAATTCACTTAGGGGTAATGGGGTTTCATGCTAGGAAGTTCACATGTGTTCAAAATTCTATTTACTGCTGAAAATGAAGTTTTGAAAAAAAGAAAAGGTAATGATATACTCTCTCCCTCCTCTTTCTTTTCAGGCTCAGGATCAAAAAGTTAAATAATTTTTGTATCAGACCCATCTGTCTGACTTCAAAACCAACAAGGCAAACTGGATGAGATGGATACATGAACTGCAAACAGTTTTGAGAGAAGAAATACATCATCTCAGTCCAGCTCTCTTCTTATTCCAGTATATTTATTTTATTTATTTATTCTTTTTGCAGTGCTGTGGATCAAACACACTATCTAAAAGAATATGTGGAAGTTTCTTAGTCCACATCTAGATTTTTTAAAAAAAATTGAATCCATGGAAATATTTAAGCAGGTGGTAGAATTTTCTTAGTATGGCAAAAGAAGCAAGGCCTCAGGCATGTTAAGCAAGCACTCTACCTCCCCAGCCCTGCATTGGTCCAGTGTATATTGGAAGATATGCAGGTCTTTCAAGTCCTATATTTCTCTCACATTAGTATTTTTAAAAGGTGCCCAAAGAAGAGATCAGGTGTTGTCTAGGAGAGTGCCTGGTAACTGTATGGAACAGAGGATTAATGGCACAGTCAATAAAATACCTGTAATCCCCTGTCCCTGCACACATATCTTTAGAGTAAAAAGGATCATTAAGTTTCTGGTTTGGAAAGAAAGATGAAAGTATGGGAACCATCTGCTGCCCACGTGTGCTCCGAAGTGTCATCTCTCACCCCAGCAAACTTTGGACAAAGCTATGTTCTCTTTGTTGGGAACCTCTCCTTGACTAGGAAATGTAGTCTCATAAAATAACCAGTTAACCCTCCAGCAACCTGATGACTTGTGAAAAGGAAACAGACTGTCCTTACATCATGATTTGTGTCTAATTTAAGGCAAGTTACTTAGCTTCTCTGGGTCTCTGGCAAGTCATCTCTGAAATAATGAAAGTTATGACCAGGGCTACCATGTTTATTGGGAGAATCATAGAGCATATACAGATAATTACTGTCAGAAATAAATCTATAAAGAACAAGTATAAAAATATATTGTAATGACTAAGATGCATTTGTGGGTGATCTTCATAGTGCTCCTCCAAGGTCACATTTTTTTTTCCCACTTTTAGTCATGGATTGAAAACGGTTTAATTTCACACACTACCTAAAAAATTATCTGGAAGTTTCTTATTGCACCTCTAGATTCAATGAGAGGTTCGACTATTTATTTATTGGTTACAATTAATGGAAACAGGTCCTAGAAATTTCTAAACAGGTCCTAGAAATTTCCTACTAGTATGGCTACAGAAAATCAGGTCAGATATCTTCTGAAGTTCCTTTTCAATTTTGAGGCTTTGATTCTATGTACCTGAAAATTGGCATTAAGAAAACCTCTAAGTAGCATTCATGTTAGGAAAAAGACAGAGGTTATATCTCCTTGCTGACATACTTTTCCACTTATTCTTTCATTTACTGTCTGTTTCCCCCCCCTCAAGGTTCAATTTAACTACCATCTATATGTTGAGGTTTAAAATAAGACTGTAGGAAATTTGTTACACTTTGGAATAGTTTTACGTTTTGCACAAGCAGAGGTGGTCATTATCAAAAGGGAGTTGGTGCTACATCAAAAATAGTGTAGAAATCTGTCAAACAGTTTTGTATGGAGCTTTAAATTGCTATGCTTTAAAATATGTATCAAACAACTTCTGTCCAGCATTTTAAAAGTGCCTGACGGTTGCATGTTTTAGTCTGTTAGCATGAGTGATCAGTAAACAAGATAAAGTTCACAAAGTTTAATATTATTAAACTGCTCTCTAAACATTCCCATTATTTACAACAAATTGCTAATCTGGTCAGGGGCCAGGCAGTTATTATACAACCACAGTGTTTAAAAATGTCTGTCACAGCATCATCTGAAAAAAAAAAAAAAAAAGAACTGCTTGAAATACATTAGAGGAAACTTTTTTCTTTGATGTTCAACTAGAGCTAAAAGAATGCTGAATCATGAATGCCCAAGAATGGTTTTAGAACAATTATGGAAGCTGTCAGACCCTAAACTTTACAATTTTCCCAAACAGGCCTTCTAATTTAGAAACAGAAATCTTGTTTCCTGTTTCTTCTTTGTAATTCTTTATAATTGAGAATTATAAATTCACAGACCTCACTGTGTTCTCCAAATTGCACAATGAGCTTCCTTCCTTGCGAGGGAGACTTCGTTTCCACAGGCAATTCACACATCGGAGGGAATTAATCTTCCTGTCTCTGAATGTCATCCATACAGGAGAGGTTTGAACAAGACAAAGCCCCTGCCAGTTCCAACACTTCTCATGGTCTTTCTCAGTGGTAGAATTTAAGGAAAATTTTAGCTTTGAAGGGATATATAGAAAAATCTATAGGAACTAATGGGGAGCTTTTTTTTATTATTCTAGAAATTAGTAAAAGTTAGATTAAATTCTAAATTGTTTGTTAATTAGAATTCATTTTGCAGTCAAATTCAGGCTGCTTAATCCCGAAAAAAATAAAATTAAGAAAGGCTTAGACTTTGCGGGGAAAGACTTTTCCTGATACTGCAGGTCAATGCCCCCTGCATGCAGTGGTGCTGTTAGAAAGTCTCTTCCCACAGTTCAGGTTCCTGAAGGAGACTCTGCTTCTCAGATAGGCAGTCTGTCTAGTCCTGGGGAGGATCCCTTCCTGCCACACAAAGACTCTCTATTTCTGTCTCCAAATACTCAAGGCCTCTCAAGATAGTAACTGGCATGCAGAATTTCTTCCCTTGGCACTATTTGAAAACCAGCTATCTGGGTTCCCTACCTTCAATCTTGGGTGCAAAAATCCATCCCCTACTGAATAGTTGATTTGATTTATGGACATTAAGAATCTGACCATTTCTTGCTCTTTGGCTTCTCCTGGCCCACAGGATCTAGGTTATCCTGTTGGAACTGATTGCCCTCACCCACCTTACAGTTGCCTGATCTCTACACAGCCTCACCGCAGGGTGAATGGATTACAAGAAGAATAAATAGACAGAATGATCAAAGCATGGGGATTGGGAGTTCAAATTTGGTTAGCAATTACCTTATACAATACTTTTTAAAAAATACACATGTAATAAACATGAATACAGTTGTTGCATTGTTGAAAATGGAGCATGGGATGGAGAAGCAGAAAGTGTGGATGCAAGTGCAGTCTACCCTACTTATTGGTTCTGTGGCTTTTGACAAATTGCTTGATGTCCCTAAGTGTGACTTTTCACACCCACACTGTGGTAGAAACAGCATCACCCACCTTTAGAGGCTGTAGCGAGTGTCAGAAGCCCAGTGCCTGGCACATCTTGAACACTGACCAATGTGGGCTCTCACTGTATCATTGCTTTTCTTCTAGAATTTGTTATGATATGAAACACAAGGCAGGAAAAGTTTTGAGACTAACTATAAATGCTAGGACATTTTGAGATAAACCCCAACAGAAAAGCCCCAAATGAGAAAAAAAAAAAAGTTACAATGTTCTTGATGTTGAATTGAACTTTTTTAGGGGAATGGACTTCTCTTAGTAGAAAATACTTGCATCAGCAGATAACATAGAAAATCCAGAAGTGTCTGTCTTATAGTGCTGTCTATTCTAGCCCATGATTGAAAATTAAGACTTACACTATAGATGCAAGAATGTGGGTCTTTGGGCTGAGGTGGGATGGAGTAGCCAAGACCCATGTTCTCATACCCCATTGCTTTCCATTCCTCTGTCTTGATCATGGGAAAATAAAGAAGCAACAAATATATAAGAAGCAAAATAAAGAAGCAACAAATATCCAGTATGTGACTTCAGTCGAATGTAGGCTGCCTGGCTCTGACCCACAAGATAATTTTTATCCTAAATGTATTTTTCTTTAACAGTTTATCATTGGTAACCTATTGCTTATTGTGATGAAACCATCTGTTTGTTAATATAATATGTGTGTATGTGTGTTAGTTGTGTGTTTGTGTAAAAGACAGAGACTGAGTCAGAGAGTCAGAAAGACTGAACATGCACCCGCAAGTACATGTACCTGTGTATATCACTGTGATTAAAGAAAAATTATGCTGGCAGTCCTCGATCAGTTAGTCATCACAATTGAAGTTTAATGTCATCGATTACATCATCTTACCTGTGAAAATTTTATTTTGTTAAAATGACATCACCTAATTGGAGTTTGAGGAAGAAAGCCTTGACACAAAGTCTCTGTGGCTTACCTCATTCTGCCACATCAGATGGAGTCCTTAACGACACCTTAACACCAGTAACAAGACAACATTTCTGTAACCTCATTTCTGTGGGATTCCAGCTACCCGAGAAAACCTTTGGACACACTCGTGCTTGGTGGGCATCCATTGAAATGTTGCGGAACCTGAAAGCAGTGGTCCATGAGGGCCATTTGGTCATGGTGATATTGTTCCAGGGTCCCACTTCCAGATGCCATGGTGGGGAGAATGTTCTTTTACCCATTATAGGGGACCCGTAGCCAATGTGGGCAGACAGAAGAGAGATAGGAGGAACTTGCTCTAGGGAAAATGGGGGAACAAAGGCACAACACCATGGTCCTAACCATCCGAGATGCCTTTTTCAGATCAGAATTCAGAAAAAGAATTTTCAACCTTTCTGAAAACTGTACATTTATCCACTTTACTGGCAGTTATATAGATAATTTCCAGACTAAGTTATCCATAAATACGTAACACTACTACAATTTAGTTGAGGAAATGACTCAGCTGCCTGACTCTCAGTATACTCAATGAATAATTTGGCCCTGTATTTCTAGAATGTTCTTTTCCCATATCTCTATCTGGAAAGCTATTGTTTATTCTCAAACATCTAGCTAACAATGTGCTTCTGTACAATACCGTTTTCTTTTGTAAATATTCCCAAGCTCTTTGGGAATATGCTACATTTTTTTTTTTAGAGCACTGATCACTTTTTATAAGTATCCTTTTAAAAACTCACTCTGCTGGGTTGTGTGTTTTTCATTTCTCGTACCGCCTCCCATACCAGCCCTCTCTTCAGTCCCTTCATAACGCATAGGTCTCACTAAGGTTTATGGAAATGATAAAGGGGAGCTGATTGCCTTAGATAACCACAGATATCACTGGTCAACTCTTAGGGCCAAATGCTCCATGAGAAGACACAAATAGTACCTAGTAAGATGTGAAAATTGAGAATTAGAAAACAGAACTATGCCCAAATCACAACCACCTAAAATCCAATCCACCTGGAGAAAAAGTTGTGCATCATTCCAATGTATCTTGAACCATCACCCATGGGTGCCACTGTTTAGGGTGCATATCTTCCTGTGTGTTGTCCTCCCCCAAGGATTCAGAAGCAGTAGCAGGAGTCTTCATATATAGTCCCAGGGTACTTTGAGGACAGTTGAGATGAAGAGTCAAAAAGAGTCAAATGCCTGTCTTTGATTCCCAAAATATATTCTCAAGTCATAGCTTTGAAAGCCTTAGTTTTCAACTGAAAATAGATGGGCATTTTGCACAATGAGTCTCTTCCATTGTGATGTTCCCAAGTTGTATCCTTTAAAAAAAAAAAAAAAAGTTAACTGTAGGCACAGCACTTTCCTGAGTTCTGTGAATCTGTTATCAAACATGAAGGGTTTCTTACAAAAAAAGTTAATACTTTTTTACCAGAAGGGTTTCTGTTCTTACTAATTTAAAATTTTAATTAAGATTGAATCAAAAGTTTATGTCTTTGGTTAATTTTCAAAATGATGCTGAAAGTCACTTTTCAGTTTTGTCCATATTTATAGTTGGGTTTTTATTTTTTTACTTGTTTTTTTTTTTTTTTTGTTCTGGGGATTGAACTCTGATAAGCATACACTGTACCACAACTATATCTCAGCAATGGATTTTTGAGAAGAGGATTCATTGATCTCACCCAACCATAAGTGTGGTCCTTACTTCTTTTTAAGTTTATTTTTTCTTTTAAAATTAACCTTCTGTCTTCATTTTATGTTATGTCTTACAACATTATCCCAGGGTTTACTTTTTCTTTATATTACTTATATTTTATGAAATGATTTTAAAAATTTTATTAAAATTTCTGTTCTATTTTCTGTCAGATCTTTTAATTCTACTTTATAATCTCTATTCTTTCTAATGTCAATGTATATTCTGATCTTTTCTCTTTTTTTAGATTTCATGTGCATATCATGCTAATGGATCTTCATGGTTTGGGGTACATTCTTTTTATTATTCTCTCTTTTTTTCTCATAATAACTTTTTATGGGCTTTAGGCACACTCCTCTCTAATGCTCATATTTAATTGAAATGGATCTTTCAGTTCCTTTGATGTTTATTAGCAAGTCATCTAGTTCCATCTCCAGGTCTTAGCACTTACTCTACTCTTTCTTTAAACCCTTTCCTCAAAGATATTAGCTGTTTTTTTTTTCTTTCAGTAACTTTTCTTCTCATATGTCACCCTTTGAGAAGCCTTACCTACCTAGTCTATTTAATTATCACTTTCTGGTCTTTCAATTTCCACACATATTATAAGATTTTAATACAAATCCAATGGTAACATATAAGTAAAATTAAAGAAGTCATTAAAGTATTAAATCAAGAATGTGTTTATATCCTACTGTATTGGTAACATCAAGAAAAGTGACTTCTTGAAGTAGATTTTTAATAAAAAATAGTTATATACAAAACATAGTTTTTCTTGTTTCAAAAGTTACCAATACATAACATGTTTATTCATAATATTTGCGATGGTCACACCATGCATACTGATGTCTGTCTCAATGGTCAAAGAAAATTGGTTAATGTTATTAGATTAGAAATTGAAATGTTTTGGGTCAGTCCTTTGCAGGACTGACTGGGAAAGAGGATTGTGTCGAGCAGTTTTGCTATTTCAAAAACACAAGTTTAATGTTTACTTGAAGAAAAGACAAGCCTTTTAACTTCATACCAGTGACAGTGATTTTTGTTGATTAATGAGATTCCCTGTGACTACTCTGCTTCATTCCTTAAAACTAGAGATCAGACTTTTAAGTTGGGGTTTCATCTGGGAAATAGCACTTTTCTTTGAATGGCAGATTTATGAAGATTCAACTATGTGTAATGTCTGTATAAATTCATCCATATTGGAGATCAAAGCAGAGGGTATTGATTTTTATCAGTCCACCTAGCTCCAGTTCCTACATAGCACTGTCCACTAACCCTGATTTTAGTTTCTCTTTATCCTGGTATATGTTCCCAGTACCCATTTCCATGTACCTTAGTACATGCAGGCATTGAGTGGAGAGCCCACATCCGTAGGCTGCTTATTTAAGGATCTTCAGTAAATGTCTGTCATGAGTACTTTGGACTGAAATCAGGAGTGGTCTAAGGTAAATCCAAGTAAATACGTGCAGAGTGCCAATGTACACTTATTTGCAGCTACTATTGCCTTCAGCTTTATTTTTTCCCCTACCACTATTTTAAAGAAAATTTAAAATTGAGAACTATTATTTCACTTAGAATTGATACCTTCATACAATTTTTCCACTTTTTTCAGTTTGGGTTGTTACTAATTTGCTCTTACTCCTGGCCATAAACTGTGCGTCAAAATTCCCTGTGACTAATCTAAGTGTTTGATGAACCCCAAATGCACTATTCTTAGGCTTGTAGTAAAAAAGAAAGAAGTTTTACATAAGAGAGTACTCAAAAATATTACATGCAATTAATATCATTTGAATTTAATTACTTGGGCAAAAATAACCCCAAACATCCGTTGGTGGTTGGGTCAGGGCAAAAGTCCCTAAATGCTTTCAGTGAAATTGAAACAAGGCAGCCAAAGCAACATCCCAAGGAATGCAGTCTCCCTCGGGGAGGATAGACACTCTGTTTTTAAGCTTACCCTAGATTATAATTTTTCACACATAAGCACATATTTTCAATCAAGTTTTAGGCTTACCCATATATTCAGAAGTTTATTTGCTTGCTAGTTCTTTATGAATTTCACTTTTCATGTTGAGACTGATTTCCTTCTAACTGAAGTGCATCAGCCTGTAACTTCTTATTAATGACATTGAACTTTCTCAGTCCTTGTTTTACAAAGAAAATATTTATTTTGCACTTCTTCTTGAATGATGTTTTTAGTTAAGTCACCAGCTGTTTTCTCTCAGCACTTTGAAAGAAGTATTCTGTTGTCTTTTGAAATTTATTTTTTAATCAAAGAGAAGTCTGATGCCATCCTAATAACTATTTAGGGGTGAAGAAGGAGCTTCTCTACCTGTTCTGTGTTAATTTTTGCATACTTTTGCCCTAATGTTCTGCAGTTTATACACACCCCGTACATTTTCATGCACAAAGGTACACATATGCACACAACACACGGAACAGAAACACACACACAAGCAGACACATATACATACACACATACACACTTATGCACATGCATGGATACCTGCTCCCACTTTTACTTATGTTCATTTCTTATTGTTATTTATCCTGATAATGTTGTATTTATTCACTTAGATGTTCTTTTAGTGTCTAACATGTCCCAGAAGCCATTTATCATGCCATGTGTCTATTAATTTGCAAGTGGCTGAATGTTTTCTCTAATACGTGGATGCTAATTCACAATAAGTGGGGGCAGGCACTAGAGAAGAATAGAGTTACCTTAGATTAGGTAGAGGGAAGTGAAGGGAGGGGAGGGGAGCGGATGTGGGGATAGGAAGGATAGTAGAACAAAACAGACATTATAACTTTATGTATATATGTGACTGCATGACCAATGTAATTCTACAACATGTACACTCAGAAAAAATGAGAAATTATGTCCTATCTATGTATGATATATCAAAGTGCATATATAAATGCATTCTACTGTCATGTCTAACTAATTAAAACAAAGAAATTTTTTAAAAAAAGAATTAGAGGAAAAAAATTGCAAATGAGGAAATTTTTCAGAAGTGACTTTTGTTTTGTTCCTCTTTTCCCCATTCTTTCTCATAGGTCTTAGTGTTTCTTATTTTATGAGGACCCTAAACCTTGCGCTTTAATAATAGCTGTCATTCATTGAACACCAGCTATGTGCTTTTCTGATTTTGGCATTTGATATTATACATTATAGTTGTTTTAGCAGCTTTTGCAATCTCAGTACCCTGCTATGTAGGTTCCATTATCATCCCGGTTTACAGCTGAGGACACTGAAGCATGACAAGGGTGAGTAATATATCCAAGTTCACCCAGCCATTGAGCAGTCAATACAGGACTGATCCAACTAACCTTTCCACAGGGTGCATATCTTCATTGTTAGGGCCTAGTATATCTAGCAATGATTTTTTTCTCCCATATTTATTAACCAATCTTCCTTATATTCTGTATTTGTATCTCATCATACTGCACTGTAAGTCACTTCTGTGATTTTATTTTTAATGTGAATTCAGTCTTATTCACTGGTGTCTTATTTGTCCATTAATCCACCTATTTAGAGTTTTATTAATGGATTTATATTTTTAATTCAGAAGATTTCCCTTCTATAAATATCTATCTAGCATCTTTTTGATTTTAGATTATATTTTTATATCATTTGCACACACAAAATGCTTCATTTGATTTCTCTTAAAATAGTCTATTCCTGGGCTGGGGATGTGGCTCAAGCGGTAGTGCGCTCACCTGGCATGCGTGCAGCCTGGGTTCGATCTTCAGCACCACATACCAACAAAGATGTTGTGTCCGCTGAGAACTAAAAAATAAAATAAAATAAATAGTCTATTCCTGAAGATCTGACCTACATTTATGTGGCCACAGGGTCTTCTTCTCCATATTCCATTTCTTTATGCATGGTTTCTTTGTGGGAACTCCTAGTTCCTTGGACTATTTGAGTACTCTGTGGAGTAAATTTGCCTTTGCTGCTTCTTCATGGGAGCTATCAGGTTTTATAGTCCTGGATGAGATTTTATGTTAATACCTTGGCTTCATGATTCCCTTATGGAGGAGTTTACATAAATTTGTATTCTTGTCCAACTGGTGGTATAGGCCTTGCATTTCAACTTTTCATACCTGAGTCTATGCTTTTTCAGTTCCTGAGATTGCAAAAAGGCACAGAACTTCTTGAACTTTCCTTGGACTTTCTGTCAGAGTATTATTTTTCACTTCTCACTGATGGGAAGTAGATTAAGTGGTCTCAAGTATATTTCCCAGGCCTGTAGCTATTTCCACTATTCTCTATCCCCAAATGACAGGTAGGTTCCAAGTAGACCTATACCAGGAATGGAAACGTCTATGGATTACTGCATGGCCAGTCAATGCATGTTCTCCTTCTTTCATGACTTTCATTTCTCCTTTACTCTAATCATAGAAACAAGAATTCTCTTTTACTTATTTTAGACTTAGGTACAAATTAATATCTGCTCTATAATTAGAAAAGAGATTTAAAAAATATAAATAAGAAAGGAAGAAGTCAAATTATAACGATTGCAGATTCAAAGAACTCCACCAAAAGATAGCATGAACTAAAAAAATACAATAAAGTAGGTTACAAAATCAACATACAAACATCAATAACTTTCCTATATACCAACAATAAAT